ACACACACACACACACACACACACACACACACACACACACACACACATTCTGATGCACTTGTTGAGGTAATAATGATAGATTGGAAACATCTTCAATTGTACAATAGAAGTCCTTTTTTTGTGTGTCTTTTTTACCACATCCTGAATGAGTGAAACATAAAGAGCCATATTTGAAAAAAATAAGTTATAATACAAAAAAAAAAAAAAACATACCAAATCATACCATACCATTTTATTTATAGAGCACTTAAAACAACAAGGCCAACCAAAGTGCTGTACAGACAGAAAAAAACAAAAGCAGATGCTCACCATAGTAGGGAAAATTTATAATTTACTTACAAAAAGATCTGAAGCTGTCGACTTTGACCTCTCCAAGGGATTTTAAACAATTATTAAGTTCACTGTAAAAATCTGTGTTCCTGTTTTTAGTATTTTACCTCGTTTCATAATGTAGCTTGTTTTAATTTTGTTTTGTATCACTATTTGTCCAGAGGATCTGATTTAACTTTGGTGGATTTTTCTACCTGGATTATTGAGCACGAATCAGGATGCAGCACAAATATTTAAAATAACAATGATTGTGTAGCAAAGAACGTATACATGGCCATATCTGGCAACGTTGACTTTTTTTTTAAAATATATATAATTACTAATGCGCATGCTCAAAGTCAGTTTGTTACGATGCATTGTGGTCTAAATAGTTTCACGCTTTCTTTCGGTTCGTTGAAATACACTCGTTAGCCAATGTTCATATCTAACTCTGTTCAGCTGTACTCTGCAGTCGCCCTCACAATGTAAAATACCAATAAAACTAATTTTCAAATACGTTTGTGAATAACCGTCAATAAAAAGCAGGCGTAAGAAACAACAACTTTAAGGGGAAGAGAAAGTTTTTCAGGTCTCTTGTAAATGAGTCCTCGAGGCTCAATGGGATTTACCTGTATAAATAAAGGTTGAATGAAAAAAAAAAACCTTAAAGGGTGCGCAGTGCCTCTTCTTTTACGCATGCGCGTTAGTAACTAAAAAAAAGGATATGATTTTACCCAAGTTTCTTTTGGCAGGCACACGTTTTTGTTATACTATGTACACTCTAAACAACTTTCACGGGTTATATACTTGTTTGTAGAGTAACTAAGTGTTACATTAAAACATTTGTTATTATACGAGTCACAGATATTAATTTTACGACGGACGCAAGGCTTATGTGTAAGTGACGCTGCTCCTGGAAGACAAAACGCTGGGTAGCAGTCAAAGTTATACTTGAAACAACCCGCCAAATTCCAAAGCTATTGTTGATGCTCGGTGTTGCTGGTCTTTTTCAAGTTTTGTCCTTCATGCGAATGCATTCTTACCATCTATTTACAAATTTTACCCGACGGAAGACCATCGATTTTATATGAACTGGTGGGTTTTGTTGGCTTGTTAAATTTGTCGCTCAGTCGATTCTTATTAGTGTCGGAAATACCGGAGGTTTTTAGCTAACTTGCAGCACACTCGTCTTTAGCTTCACGAAATGGCGATGTGGAGCGACGTTGAGCTCCTGATAAACGAGGATTCAAACACTGTCCGTTTGGACAGCGTGTCGAAAGAGGAAAATGGCAGTGGCTTATACCAGCTGGATACACTCGTCAAAATCTCTTCTGCCAGTCAGGTAATCGGTGCCAGGACTGTTGAATGCTTGTTGCTAAGTTTATTTAATGGATGTTCATGCCCAGGGGCGTAGCTAAGAATACTGAAACTCTGGTTGCCTTTTTTAGGTGGATGCAGATCCCCAGCTTTCCTCTTTTGGTGGTTCAAACTGGAGAATTGTTGTTGTTGACAAGACAGTGATCATATTTGATCAGAGCTATCAGACCATCCTGCTGCTTCTCCACTTTGGTAAAACATCACTTTTTTTTACTGGCAGTGCAGTGGTTCTCAAACCATCCATGCCAAGCCCTCCTTTGGAGGTAGACACCCCACCACCACCATAAGACTAAACCAAATTGAATCAACTTCACTGTATCTTTTAAGTTTCTCCTAGTCATAGCATATGTGACATTGCTTTTGTGACCTTTGTCTCTTAATTGCTGTGATTTGTTGTGCTTTTTAAAATTTATTTAAAGTTACAGAACAAGAACTACACCATTTTAGGAGAATCATGAAAAATAAATATATATCCGCTCAATAATATCACAATAAAGTATGCGCTGACTCTGTCGAGGTTCACCGATAGTTTGAAGGGAGTTTGATAGTTACCGGTAGTTTAATTTTAAAATTACACAAAAAATAAAATGAAAAGAGTGATCACATGCCCCATAGTTAAAAAAAAATCACTGGTCTTGTCAGTTTATTTGGGTGGGAAAATATAAACAAGTTAATGGTTTAAAGGTTTAGTCACAATGGATTTAATATTCTTTTCTTTTTTTAAATGAGTCAGTTTGACGTATTGAACTTAAAACGTTTATTTTTTTCTAAACTTTTCAGATTCTTATGTGGATGCCATTGACATTTGCCTCAAAGGGCAGTTTCTGGTGGTTTGTGAAAGAAATGGGAAACTTCATTTGATTTATGTTCCACACAAGACTATCCTCCTCACAAGTGTATGACTTTTTTATTATTACTGTCATTAGGCACATTTTTAATAGGATTTTAGTAAATATAATAGTTTTTACATCCAGTGTCTAAACTTGTTTGAAATGCATGTTGTTGTTTTTTATTTGCAGGCTTTAGTTGACAAACCATCCACTGAAAATAAGAAAACCTATCGCTATCTCATCATAGATGAGGACAAGTCATGCCCAGGTGAAGTTTTTATGCTTATCTGAGAATAATTTACAATGCTTAATGGATATATTTAGTTTAATAAAATGTAAGATTTCTTTATTTCTGTAAAACTGTAATATTTTTGTTTCTAATCTAAAATTTGTATGATTTGTTGTATCAAAACAGGAATATATCACGTGTTTCTTCTTGTAAAGGATGGTTTTTTCCACATTTCAAACCTCGTTTTGTCAAAGATGGAGACAGGTATTCACGTGTTTTATGCAAAAATCTACTTTTTTAATTTGGTGGAGAATTTTTTAATCTAAATGAAATGTTTCCTTTTCCTGTGCCCTTACAGCCATGGAAAAAATGGATGCGAGCACTTTGAAAGAAGTGAGTCAATCAAATCTCTTTTCATTTATTTATAAAAATACTTCTTTTTTTTTAACAACAGGAAAATACTCTTACCTTGTCTTCCTTTAGCTTCAAAGTCTCATCAAAATAGACTTTTGCTCCACAAAGGAATACCATAGTGAAGATTGCAGTAAAGCAGTCATGTTCCATCTTGGCCTTGAAACCCACCTAATGATTGGGGTAAGAGATAATTTATAATTGATTCACCAATTGAAACTGTGTGTGACAAGTTTGCATGACCAAAAAAAAGTAAAGTTTACAGCCTAATTTTGAAAAAAAAGTTATAATGCTTGTGCTTTTATTTACAATTTGTTGCAACTTATAATTTGTTAGGGAGACAAAGAAAACGTCATGACCCACTGGAAGATGGACCGTCTTGAGGCAAAGATGTGCTTCGCTCAGTCATTTGACAGCAGCTTAATTTCTGGTAACTATTATGTGTTTTTGTAGATGCTGGTAGAATTCAGACAGTTTGTAGACAAGTGATTAAGTGTTTTTGTTGTGTATCGACACCTAGGCTTACAAGAAATATGGCATTAAAGCATAAGTCAAATGTTCATGAGTTTCGTTGTGTTTCTTATTTTTTGTATCTGCAGGTGTGAAGAAAATGGCTGTCATGGATTATCAGTTGTATATTTTGGACTCTGAAGTGAGTTTAGTGGTGTCATTGTTAGGCCTGTTGCGATAAATAATAAATCAATTAATCGCATGATAAATGAAAATTATCAACCTCATTTTCATTTATCGGCTTTATTGTTTCTTCGTGTCTCTCTTTCTACTGAAGACACTGGATGACAATAGGCTAAACTCCGGTGCTCTTCACTGACCCCTCCATTTCTCCTTTCTCTTTAAAATCCATTTAACTGTCCAAAATAGTGTTTTTGGATCGTTTAAAATGGCTAAGCTGAGAAGCTAAGCTATGAGCTAAGCTAACAGGCTGACCTCGGGGGGGGAAAGACCTCCGTCCTGTCAAAGCTCCAAAATTCACATTCATTTGCTGAGAACTTGTTTACTGATTTTTTTATTAAAAGCTTTATGTAAAAAATGCTATGCTAAAGTGCTCAAATCACACAGAGCGTCTGCCATTTTGAGAAACAAATAAAGGAAGGAGAGACGGCTCATGTCAAGGGGCCTCCCTCCCATTTTTCTTAAATAGACACGCTGCTCGCTCCCTCACTATCCATCCAGTGGTAAAAAAATGTACAACACACAAAACAAATTCAACATTTCTTCTTAAATTTGACAATAATTGCTTATTATTGTCAAATTTCAAACAGTATTATCGTTTATCGCAATAATATCTGAGACAATTAATCACCCAGCAAAATTTGTTATTGTGACAGGCCTAGTCATTGTGAACTGTTGGACATGTGTACAAGGCCTTTGAATATTTGTGGTTCAAATTGTTTCCTTTGTGTCAGGACATTCTGAGTGTGTGGGACCTGCATTTTGTTGTCATGATTCACTGCTGGCCAGATCTCACCATTCATGACTTTGAACTCACCACTGAGTGCGGCTCTGCTTCCATGGTGGCGTAAGTATCAGCGTGTTGAGAACAAAGTGCGCCCTTTTACACAAAACTGAAAATGTTGAGTGCTTTGTTTTTTATTACAGCCAAGACAAGGGCAGCATGAGAATGATCACACTGACGAAGCAAGAAAACAGTCGGGTAACAACACACGCTGTTTAAAACGTAAACTCCTTCAGGTGAATAATCCAAAGTTGTGTTCTGAAGTTGATCTACTTCTTTTTTAAATTTCAGATCAGCTCCCTTCAAATAAGATTTCTGCCCTCCATGAATGTTTGCTACTCTCTGGACGTCTCCTCAGTCTCCTGTCTTGTCCAAATTAAAACAAATATGGTAAACAATCAAACCTATTAAAATCATTACATGGATTTTTGCATGTTCTATTTCAACATTTCTTCTTATCTAAGATAGTTGTGTCCTGTGCTTATTTCAGGATACAATTTATTTTGTTGAAGGGATGTGCGAGAACACAGAAAGGTGAGATAATTTTAATAATCTTCCACCAGTGCTTGTGTTATTGACTTTTAAAGCATTGCTCTTTTTTTTTTTACCATCTTTTCAAGCAGTCGAGGAGAGCCTGTAGCTTCCGTTGCGGTCAGATGTCTCACAGAGGCTTTACCTGAGAACAGGTAACAAATCTTTATTTGATGCTGTTTACCTGATGTATACTTTGTGCTTCACTGTCACCATTGTTGTTTCTTGATGTTTCTCTGTTCGTAGACTTAGTAGACTTCTTTACAAACACATGTTTGAGGAGGCCGAGCAGTTTGCCATCACATTTGACCTTGATTTAGAGGTAAATGTGACTGTTTTATAAAAAATATATACTTTTTTTTAATGGATATGTTAAATAACTATGCAAATGTTTTGTTCTGTGAAGACTGAAAATGACTCCAGCTGTCTCAGTGCACCATAGATTTTAAACATAAAAATAATAATTATTTTTAACAAGAATGACTTTAACTTAGTTGCTTTAGATTAGTAATTAAATAGGTAATAGTCTACTGCTCTCCATAATGTGTTGTGTTAATGGTTTTCTGTTGCAGCTCGTCTACAAAGTGAAGCTCAGCTTTGTGCTGGAGCAGCTGGCCTCTGCTTCAGTGGGTGGATACGGACAGGATGTGTGGTCTGAACTTGTAGAAGAGGCCAAAACCAACCTGGCGAAAATCACTGTGAGTCTAACAAATGCTACTTTTATTTAACTCAGTTTATATGTTCAAAAAGATGGACATTTTAGAGCAAATAAAGTTACTACAGTCAGAAGCTTAACGCTAACTGTTTTGTAGGATGAGCAGTATGTGGTGGAGTACTGCCTCAAAGCTCCCTGGCCGACCTTTGAGACCGCAGAGAAGATGCTGAACCACGTCGCCTCGCAGTACTCCTCCTTGCAGATCCAAGAGGCCTTGGCCAGACTGGCAACATTCTGCAACCTCCATGGCTTAGACAATTTCAAGTAAATTCAATATCTTATTGTCCAGCGCCTTATTTCTTTAGTTTCAGCAGAGCAACTCTCCCACATTTCAATTTTCAAATCCCACATCAAAACTCTCCTCGTTAAACAGGCATACTCTAACTTCCTTGTCACTCTACCTGTATTGAAGTAATGTTTGATTTATTAATTTTTTACTGCATTTTACATTGTATAGTTTTGTACAGTGCCTTTGAGTGTCATGAAAGGTGCCTTAAAAACATTATTATTTTTCATTTTGTGGTTCATTTGTTGTGTAAAAATTAGATTTTTAGTTTATTTTGTACCCTCCAGTGGAATTGCCTGGATTGAGTTTCTAAACAGCACTGACAATCTGGGAGATGTTTTGACTCATCTAAGAGAGGGAGACATGAAGGGCGCGCAGCTCCTTTGGCTCAGATACGAGGTAAAAAAAACAACAATGTTCTTATTAATTCAGTACACAGAAACTTGTCATTTATCAGTATTCTAGGAATTACACTTGATAAATGTGAAAAAAACAGACATTTCTATGAAAATTACATTAGGTTCAGGTTTGTTATTGTTTAGTGTTTTGTTTTTTGGGGGGCAGGGGCAGATTGCTGAAGAGTTTAATGAAAATGGTTTGGAAGCAATCCTCAACGCCATTCCTGAGGACCTGCCCTCCCAAGACCTCTGTCCATGGTTCAGGATGGCGTTTGTCCCTTTTGTGAGAAGAGTCCTCCCAAAGGGACAGGTTGAATATTTTAATTTGTTTATGAAGTTTATCCTCCCCAGTGTTGTGCTATATTTGGTTAAAGAAAATATCTTTTTGTATCCACAGAGGACTTTGGCAAGGTGGCTTGAGCAGAAGGCAAGAAATTTGGAGTTAACTGAAAAGGTAAAGAAGAAAATTAAAATACTCCAATGTGTTGTGTTGAGCTTTGTACTGTAATATTTGTATATTTGATTATACAGAACTAAAGTTTCTTAGTTCAACCTGTCACCATGACAAATTTAAAATTTTTCCAGGCTTCTTGGCCTCAAAATGGGCTGGACCTGGCAATGATTGGACTTCCCTCTTTATGGACCTGGATGGCATCTGTAGTAAGCTCGACTACTGTTTTTGTCTCCTTCTCAATAGTGAGCATTTTGAGGGAACATTGAGGTTTTTTTTATTTTTATTCTTAATAATACATTTTCAAAGGATGATAACGATGACGCAAAGGAGTTGGAGAACCTGAAATCCCTCGTGTCCAACCTCCGTATGCTGCTTGACCTCCACCAGAAATACAGCTGCAGGCTTTCACTCTCAGTATTTGAGAAGGTTTGTTATTATTAGTGACTGCACTCTAGCCATTATACACAATTGTTGTGTGCAATGTTGTATACATGAAATTAGACATGATCAAACTTTGTGAAATGTGTCTGAAATAAAACATTTTACAACAGCTTTAATTTACTGTCGTTTTGGTGATCAGACTCAACCCAAGTCTTGAATTAATGGTTTTGTTACCATGACATAATGTTCTACATGCATGGTTATTCATTATGCTTGTAAACAAAGCTTTTCCTTGTTCTGCTGTGTTGTTTTGTGTTTTTAAAAGAGAAGTGTATGGAGTGTGGCGTTCTTCATGCTGGATAAAGTTCCTGCTCCAGAGCTGATTGCTGCTACAGTGGAAAACAGCATTAAGCCATATGCCAAAGAGCACAAGATACCCTTTAATGAATTATTGATGCAGTACATCAAGGTAAAACTTGTCTACTACTACTACTACTACAGAATGTGATTTGTTATTAATGTTTTATAAATATGTAAATGTTTATAAAATAAATACTGGTGTGACATATGCATGCTCAATAATCCAGGTAGAGAAATCTAACAAAGTTAAGTCAGGTCCTCTGAACGGATTGAAAAAAAATTGTCTTTTGTCGACAAAATGTTTCAACAATTAAATTTTTTTTTTATCCATCCAGACTTTGTTAGACTGGTATGACATAATTATTGTAACAGCAAATAAGTTAATATAGTAGAATAAATTTATTGAGACTTAGTTCGGTTTTTTAAATAGCTGGCAATGCCTCCGTTTCATTTGTAAATCTGGTATTGAGTAGGATCTGCTGGAGCGCTGCAGTTCTCGGATCGCAACACTTTTCACAGAATGGGAAGCCAAAGCAGTGGCGGTGCTCGACTGCATGACTGACACTGATGTGAGTTTGTAAACAATTTGTTGAAGGAAAAAAGTGAAATTAGTGCAAATATTTGTTTAAAACCATCAGCTGTGTCTGTAGCAAAAAGGTCAAAGAAACAAAAAAATAACGTAACATTCCTGCTGGGGAATTTTCTGATTATGTTTCATGCCAGCTGATGGTCGACGCTGTACTGGAGATCATGCAGAAAGCTGTGGTACCCTGGAGCAATGTGGTGGAGACTCTTGTGCAGCAGTACCTTGAGATGAATGGACCAAAGTATGATAACACGATTCTTCTCTATAACTAGTTTCATCCATCCATTATCTTTACACGCGTCTTCCTTTTCGTGTCCCGGGGGTCGCCGGTGTCCATGTCCAGCTATCACTGTGCGAGAGGCAGGGACACGCTAGACAGGTCTCCAGTCCATCACAGGGACACATAGAGACAAACGAGACAACCATTCACTCTCTCACTCACACCTAGGGACAATTTAGTTACCAATCAACCTAACATACATGTTTTTGGTCTGTGGGAAGAAACCAGAGTACCCAGAGAAAGTTCATACATGCACGGAGAGAACATGCAAACTCCACCCAGAAAGACCCCCAGCTGGGTTTTGAACTGTGGCGACATGCTTGATGAAAGGCGGCAGCTCTACAAACTGCACCACCGTGCTGCCCTCTATAAATAGTTATTTAGTAATAACAAAACTGATATTATTATTATTATTTTTAGGCAAGAGCTTTTGAAGGAGAATTATCATCTGATGGAGATTAGGAAATTACTCGGGGGATACGGCATCCGCAACTCCAGTCACACTAACAGCACTGAAGTCATGGTAAGCTTGATTTTATTTGTCTTGACAACTGTTATTATGTCTGCTCATAAAGTAACATCTATTTACCTTTACATTTAACAGACAGTGATTCGACACATCCTGAAACAAGACCTAACAACATCTTTAGAGGACACCCTGATGTTAGCAGAGGCGTATAAATTGCAGACATCACAGATAAATTACTTGTATCTCATCCAGCTGACAAGCCAAAATAAGGTAATTTAAATAACCCAGGATGGTTTAGTCACAATATGTTTGTGTGTTTTTATGATGTCAGGATGTCTTTTGTGCTGCTTTCAGACTGAGGAGGTCCTGACCATCTTGAAGAGGCTGACATGTGCAGAAGCAGAGTGTGCGATTGAGCGTCTCACTTGTTGGGCTCGGCTGCAGCTGGAGGACAAACAACACATATCTGAAGAGGTCAGAATAGGAAAAGTTGTTTGTTAAATAGAAGTTAAGTGTTTTTATTCACATCAGCATCACACTTGTTTTGTATACAACAGATTTAATTTTCATGAGCTACCTTTATTGATTACATTAACTGTATTTTAATAACACAAATGCTGAAATATTGTAAATGTGCCTAAGACCATATATTGGAAATGCTTGTTAATGCATTCAAGATGTAAATACTTTATTATTAGAAGAAAACTGCATGTCCCAAGGGCATAAAAACACACTATAAAGTTAAATATAAACATAATTTATAACAAACGGTGAGTAAAGAAGGCACATATGATATATGGGTATTGAGGTAGTTTAGGAACATTAACAGTTTGTTATAATAAAGCACTAGCTCATATCAATTGAAGTTGGACACTGGTCATTAACAGTATCTTACCTGCTGTAGGTAGCTCATAGAACAACTTCATTACAGTTTTTGATATGCATATGATGTTTAAATTAGTTTGCTTATCTCAGTTTTTTTGTTTGTCTTTATTAGCACAAGAAACACAAGATGGTTGTTGCTCAAGTAATGGTGGAGGCTCTAAAATATCTGCATTTAATCCAAAAAAGTAAGTGTTCATGGTAAATCCTCTCTAATCTTTATGTGATTGTTTATCTTTATATGCACTTTCAGTTTGCTTCACATTTTTCTTTCTTAGCGATACTGAAAACAGTATCTGGAGTAGTTTGCTGTCCAGAGTCTTGCCCAAAATAAACATGTCGACACGAGTTTTTGAGCATTGACACCTGAACTTTCTGGATTAGGGATGCTTACATTACCATATATGCTGAACCACTGGTGTCGGGATTATTCAGGCTTAGTTCACTATTTTGTGCTGTACTTTTTTATATTATAAAATCTTTCTGATTTCCTCTTTGACTTGTTCCAGCTGCTGATCTGGACGGACATTTCAGTGGGTATTTAGGATAAGTACTAGCTCAAACAATCCATGTTTTGATCTAATAAACTTGTTGGATTTTTGTAAACAATTTGATAATAAAGCAATAGCGCCTAATTTCTTCCTTCCTTCGTTGTATGCCCATCTTCCGTTTAGAGTCACAATAACTGCAAAAATACACTTTAAAAGGGGATTTGCATTTGGGATTTTTCACCAAACTTAACTAGATTATTTTTTTCTTTGTTCCAATCTGAAGCTTTATATTCATTTTATATTTTGTTTTTACTTTCCCCCCACAGCCAGTACAATCTTGTAGGTCACGATCAAGTACAACTTCGAAGTTTTTCATTTTTGTCAGAATTTTGTCCCCAGTTATCTTTTATTGCACTAGCCGCACAACTCTGACACTGACTGTCTGACTTGGGATTAGATTTTAGGACTTAGAAATTATTCTCCTGATTTCCCAAGTGTTATACTGGGTATTTTTATTTTTTGCAGATGATTCTCTTAAAAGCATGGAGTGCGAGAACAACCTCATTATGTTCCAGGCGATCGCCCACCTACAAGTAAGACTTAACTAAACAATGTTTTTACATTTTTCTCAGTCAGTTTTCAACTCACAGTCTCTCTAACTGCTTTCCCAGGAGGATTTTGATGTTTTCTTCACCCCCTCCAACTACGAGGATCCAAATATCCGAAAACAAATGAAGGAGCACCACATTACAGCTTACGAAAATACTCGAGTTCGCCATTCTTTTAATGGGAAAGCTTTATCGACACCAGTTGTGTCTAATGACCCAGATGGAAAGACCAAGACGATCTCAACAGAAGCTGGATTACGCCGGCTCGGACGGCAGCTGCAGCGCACCGAACAGGAACTCTGGTCTGATTTAGGTCTACGAGCTCTGAGAGTGGGTAACGTGGACAAGGCTCTGAAGATATTCAGGTCTGGATGTGTGGATGCTGTCCTGTGTGTATGAAACTGATAAAGTTCACAAATATTAAACAAAACTATTAGTGGAATGTTTAGAAAATTAATCAGATTTTTTTCCTTCTTATCTTTAGTGAGCTTTATGAGCACCACAATAACAGCAGTACGGGGAAGGTTTTGTTCACTGCTGCCAAAACTTTATGCCAGATGTTGGAGGCAGATGACCCTATGGTGCTTCCTGATGGCATGGATTTACCAGCAGTCATCCACAGTTTGGCCTGTCAGGCCATTACTTTGTGTCACGCAGGTAAACAAAACTCACACATGCTCTTAATATTCAACAGATAATTTTGTTTGTGATGATAAATTTTGAGCCAATAGGCAGTGAATTTATAAGTCGGTTACTAAATAAATGATCCAAATATTTTCTTTGCTGAGTAGTTGCTGTGGAATCTTTGTTACTGTATATATAATACACTTGATTTATTTTTAAATCCGTATACAAACATTCGTGTAGAGAGCATGGAGTTTTGGTAAAGATGGCAAAGTGGTTCACATTGATGCTCCAGTGTTGCTGTTTTTTGTTACTTTGAACATCTTTAAGTTGTAAAATCTCTGAAGCAAGTCAAACATTTCACAGATTTGCTGCTGGACTGCCTGGAGCTTTGCAAGTGCACCCGGATAGCAATGGATGTGTATCATCAGTGTCAGTTATCAGACAACTATGGCTTCATATCCAAAGTCAGTATAATATATTTTCCAAAATGTCACACTCTTAGTTTTATTATATTTTCTCAAAAATTCATGCTTCCTTTTGATTATTTTCCTCATTCCTGACTTTTGTGTCTTCATCACTTTTATCTAAGCCAGGTGTTTGCATCAAGGCCAGTGAGAATCTGAATGGACTATTTATAAATGTTATTAGCATGCAGAACACAAATGCATAGTACCTACAATATAATGGCCTATTATTTGTTGCAATCCAAATAGTCCTTTGCTATTGTACTCATTAATATGGTGATGATGTAAAATTTTTGCTTTTGTGCAGCCTTACTTGCTTTATGTTGTTTTACAAGCAATTCGGGTTTTTTTATTAGACTATTTTGGGTTGTATTTGATGAAAACCAATCTTGATCTAAACTTTAAAATTATTGCACTTTGCTATCAAAGAGGCTCAAAATGACTTAGCTAAAATTTTATATTTTATTGTGTAATGTTGCAGGACTTGAGTTTGGAGTCGGAAAAAGATCCTTTTTCACAGTGGAGTTTTCAGGACGTTTTTAACGAAGACTGCATCGTGTTGGATTCAGGGTCTGTGCTCCCTGTGCAGTACGAAATAACCAACTGCTTGCTGCCTATTTCTCAGGGTAATAAATTTCTCTTATCCATCACCTAATTTAGTTCATTTATGTATGGAGTCTGCAGCTAACCTTTGTCATGCATTTTCTTTCTTACAGATACTAAACTGTTTCCGCTGGACTGCTCCTGTCTGCCACACTGCTCATTTGAAGATGGTAGGTATTTTAAGCTTTTTGTCCTTCTTTAAAAACTCAAGTGATTGTTGTATCTCATCTACGTACAGGTGCAAACTACCTGCGGTCCCTCCTCGATCCCCTGACCAACATGTTGCAGATGCTACAGGAGTCCAGTCAGCTGGAGTTGGCCCTCAGAGTTCTCGTCAACTCTTACAGCAGCGGCTTGCAGCATGTCACCTCTAATATTATGGACGTAAAACTAAGTATGCAGGTATGATTAACCTCTGAAGTGGAGCTTCTTGAGCAATAGTTCTTTTATTAGAAGTGGTTTTCAGACTAAAACGTGTTAATTGTTTATAGACTGAAAATAATAATCTAATCTGCATTTCTCAGCTTTATGATGCACAAAATCTTAAAAACTACAACATATGCCTGAATGAGCTTCGAAAAATGACAACATTCTCCCTAAACTCTGTGGTTGTTGGCCTTTTGAACAAGGTGAGTGCGCTGCTACCTTTATGACAAAAGATGTTAAAAATGTCAGTGTTTTGTTAAATGTACATGTTTTTCCCCTCTGGCCTTCAGGTGTTCAACTGGAGGATGGTGGATTGTGATTTGGCTATTGGTCTTTGTACACTCCTCTCTAAAGCAGAAGTCTTCAAATTACTGTGGAAAGTTATCGATAACACTTGGCAAAACTATGACAAAGTATTGGTAGGTAGAATATATTATTCTTAACTTTACTGTCTTTGGATAGAAAATAAAGCCTAAGATCTAGACAAAAGAGAACTTGCTCAACATATAAATAGTCTGAAGATGATGGAATGTAAAGCTTATCAAGCCGACACTCAGCTAAAGCTGGTGGGATGCTGTTCATTCACATCTGATTATTATAATATTTTTAAAGAAATCATTCACCCTGTTGGTTTTTGTTTAAGGCGGTGGCAAGGATTGGAGCCAATCTTTGCTGCTTGTATAATGAACCAGAGGAACAAAGGAAGTTTCTCTCCGTCATCACTGATTCAGAGTGGGGAGTCAAGCTCAGCAAATTAGAGGTACTCTAGTTTTTAACTCAAGTGAGCAATAACCTTCTGGTGTGAAGAAGCATGTTCTTATGATGTTCCTCTCTTGTGATTTTCAGTTTCTTGTTTTTTGTGTGGGTTTTTATTATTATTTTGGGTGTTTGCCATCATTGTCTTATGTGTACCCTTGTCAGATATCTATCCAGCCTGTGTTTCGTCAACAACCTGAGATGAAGAGCAGCCTGATCCCCGAAATGGTGAAGAATAAGAAGATCACTCCAGATATTATTCTTCAGTACTGCAGGTTGGACACTTACTCCTATACAGTATATATATACTGGTATATGTTTTGTACAAATGGAACTAGACTGATTAAAAAGCTACTGTTGTCCCTTCTGCAGCACCTTTGGTTTGGACTGCGACCGTGTGATCAACCAGTATATAACCACCTTACTGCTGCTCCAAGTAGATGAAAACCGTGAAGATGTCATGCTCTCAGACCAGGAAGAGACGCAGCCTCTGTGTGAGGCCGATACACTAGATCGAGTCCTGCAGATCATCCCAATGCTGCACAGCACCAGCGAGCTCACCAACAGTCTCTGTACCGCCATATTCAAGGTTCGAGTGGCACATAGCTGTGATATTAAGACATTTTTAATTCCTCACTGTGATACATGTAAATGAAAGTTAAAAAACAAAGTATTTCCACACTTTTTGTTAAAATAACTTATCATGTAATGTCTATCAAGAGGTCTTCCACATTTCTTTATAAACATCTGGAGATGTTCATTTTTGTTCTGTTCAAACTGCACTTCCTGTAACTTTAACAGATCTGTTACTCTTTAAAGAGTAGTTCTGCCTTTTCTGTTCATTATTTTGTTTTTTGTTTTTATTTCCTGACTTTTTTGGATGTGAAGTATTTTTCCAGGGGTATAAATAATTTTTGCTATGATTACAGATTTTTGAGCCGCATGCCAAAAGCCCAATAAAAAAACTCTTAATTTTGAGGGGACAAAAAAAACCAAAACATACCACAAGTTGATGAATACAGTTGGAACTTAATGATGCAGAGATTTTATTTTATTTTTTTAAGCTCAAGAAAAGTCACTTTAGATAAAACTACATGTTAAATGTAACTCTAACTTTATTTGATACGGATCAGAATTATTAAATTTGGCGCTTCTGTTCTCAGCAGAGAGGATAAAAGTTTCCTGTCTTACATTTAGCATTTATTCCTCATATTCAGCTCAGCCCTTACAACTTCGAGAGAATCGAAGTGGTGCTCAAGATCATACAGACTGCAGATGAGAATGTGACCATCTTCTCTGTTAGTCAGGTAAAAAATATTTGCACTTGTACAATTACAATTTAATAATTCCTAAAATATACCTGTTGAAATAAAATAAAATAAAAATTAACGCCTAATATTTTAAATTCTCAGGCAATGGGCCTTCTTCAGCACCTGAAGGCTTACAAACGAGTCTCTCCTCCCTCGGACGTGGAGCACACGTATCTTCTTGAAAATGGGCTGCTGCCAGACTCCCTGTCAAACAGCAGGCTCCCCTTCCACCTTCTCATGCAGACCAAACATTACTGGAAGATTATCTGTGAGTTAACTCCTTTAATGAAACCAAAAAAAGACAATTTATGTAGATTTTTACTTGAACTTTACCAGCTCAGTATACTGCCGTCAGTTATAAATTCAGGAATAGAAGAGATGTTTATTCTTTGCTTGAGGTCCCAGTATTTCATTTAATATTTTAAACAGTTGTATGACTGGTATTGAACTTCCTGGGTAGATGGTGAATTAAGATTTGAATTTTGTAAATACATTTGTCATCTAGGGATTAGTTATTATTATTTTTTAATTTAGTTGACTAAATTAGTTTTTTTTCCACATTTATTCATTTTTTAGCTCCTGAGCTGAGTGATGAGACGTTCCCCACACTGCTTTTAATAAGCAAACTTATGAAGGTAATACACCGACTTCCAAAATGTAATCTTGCTCTCAATAATCAGAAATTTAAATCTGTCTTTCCTTCTCCAGGTGAGTCTTGACAAGTTGTACATGTCAGCAGCAAACCACATGTTTGAAAAGAAAATGAAGCCTCTAATTTTGGAGCAAAGAAAGAGGGGTGAAGATCAAGGCAACAGTGAGATTTATAAGGTGGCCAAGACCATGATGAAATACATTCAGTGCATCCAGAGTCCAGAGTGGGCTGCAGCTACGGCTCATAAGATAACCCAGGAGATTCCACCAGGTTTGAGCCGCACTTTAGAAACTACACATGTCTGTGTGGTGCACGCTTGTTTTATCCACCCAATTGTCTACTCCTGAAAGGCTTTGAGAAGATGACAGCACTGAAGTTATGTTTGTCACTTGGAGAGGCATGGCTTAAAGATCCAAACCAAGAGGTCCGGTTTCTGTTTTTACCAGCCGCAGATACTTTTATTACCACTTTAAAAATGTAACCGTAAATTCTTCTACCTTACTGCTGTCAAGCAGGAGGCTGCACGGGCCCGAGGAGAGACCTTCCTGTCCAAACTGAAGCTGCAGTTTCAGCATTCTGCTACTGAGAACACACTGATCACCAGTCAGCTGAACAGCCCAGAGCATCTGAAACTGACCGGCATGCCAGCGAGGCTCATCTTGGCCCTGTACGAGCACAGCAGTGTGGAACTGCGTTACAGCGAGACAGGAGATCAAACTTATCCTGGTGAGCAAATTTTATCACGGCAGTCCGAATTAATATTCCACTGTAAGATCGAGTTTGTATTCAGGATTACTTTAATGTGATACAGTGGAATTCCATGTGAAAGTCTGGATCCATGACAGCAAAATGTAAAAGAAATGAGATAATCTAATAATCGTCCTACTATTTACAAACACAGGAATGTGTTTTCTAGATATATTTTCTCTATTTAATTGTGTCTCAATTAAGTGGGGCCGAGATGGTGTAGGTGGGTTAAATGCAGAGAACTAATTTTGTTATTGTATAGGAAGATGCAGTGATGACAACACAGCACTTTCTTTCTTCTTTTTTTCTCAGACATACATGCTGCAGTAAAGGAAATTGCCACAATCAATAACGTGGATCTTGTGAAAATTCGTAACATGCTGTTAGAAAAGTGGATTTGCAAAACTGGTCCAGCTGTGTCCAAGGTTAGTTAGTCCTCATATATTTAAGCATTCTGTCAGTTTTTAGTCACACCTCTGAATTTTTTTTACTGAGAACACTTGTTTTGTTGTTGTTGTTTTTAATAAGGACATGGGAAATCAAGACTGCATCACTGACATTGAGGAGGATCCAGACCTAAAGAGGTAATGATCACATGTGCACAGGTGCAATATTTTGCTTGCCTTTTTCTTAAAAGCAAATTATAATGAAGATAAGTATAGATCTTGTAAACTAAGAACTATGAGATTATTTTTTGTTGCCTGTTACAAAGAAAATGTGCTCATGGTTTACTTTGGTTGCTAATCTGTAAATTATTTGCCATTTGCAATAATTAGACAATGAGCTATAGCAGAATATCCTGACTTGTCTGTTGAATGTGTATCTTTGATACTGATTGGCTGTAGGGTGGTCTACATGCTGCAGTCCAGCTCTAAGGATGATGCTGTTCGTCTTCTGAAGCCTGTTCTGACTGCTAAAACCTGGGTGAGTTATAAAATGCTATGTGCATGCATCAGTACAGGATACATTTTCTCCAGACAGGGGCTGATGTTGTGTACCAAACCCCTTCTGTAGCCGCTAGGCACCTCTGGACCTCATCTGACTTTCTGTCATCGAACCCGAGCTCTGCTTTGTCTCGTCCATCTCGCCGATGCAGCAACGCTGGAGGCCCAGTTGCAGATCCCGAGGGCCAAACTTAGGTAAGATGCTTTAAAACTTTTAATAATTTATTTGTGCTAGAAATGATGGTGCCCCATCGTAAATGTGTTTTATATTCGCATGCAGGAATTATCTAAAGTGCTACATCTTTGTGTCTCAACTGGAAGCCTTGAGCATCCCTTACACGGTTCAGTCCTTCCTCAACACTCCCAAAGAGGGTTTGATTAAAGGATTGTGGAAAAACCACAGTCATGAGCCGCAGGTACAGGATAAATCAAATCATTATAATGAATCCACCAAATGGCTTTGTTTTATCTTCCCTAGATTAGAACGACTGAACACACGCAGACAAAGTTAAAATCTCTTTGTTGTGTCAGGCGGTTCGTCTGGTGGCCGACTTGTCTCTGGAGTACCAGGTCTATGATTCTCAGCTGTGGAACAGTCTGCTTCAGAAGCTGTTGGGCTTTAACTTGGTGAGGGGTTGCAGCACCAAAGTTCCTGTCATTGTCTGTAAACTTAAAAAGTTTGCTTTTGATTTGAAATAAAACTCACCGGAGATGGTCTGTTTATATTTTTCCCCCTCCTCAGATCAGTCACCTCCAGAAGGTGCTGGGAGCTATTGTGGCTGTGCCAGCTTTGTGGGAGGTACTGTTACAATCGAGTTATTTTATTTTTATTACTTATTAACAACTATTAGAAGTCAAAGGAACAAAGTTTGCATACAAATAGTTTTGCTAATGTAATAAAACTCTTTTATCAGCGAGACCAGTTAAATGGCATATTTCGTTACCACTATATCAAAAGTCCTTTTGGAGCTGGTGTTTAAAAAAAAATAAGATTAAAAAAAAAAAACAAAAAAAAAACACCTGGACATTACTACAACAACAAAGTAACAAGAAAATATTAATTTAAACATTCCTTCCTCTTTTAAACTTTTTCTTTTCAGATTTCCAGTTTCTCTAGGACTTGGAGGAGCGCGTTACTGGCACCTTTTGTCACAGGTAAAAATTTTTTTTAAATAATTATAAAAATATTCTATATCCGTGAAACTATTTCATAACAATAAATATGACCAAATTGTTAACTGATGCTCCTTAAACATGGTCTTGGTCACGCTTTTCACAAAAATCCCCGTGTTCAGAATAACCTGATAGTTTCTGTCCTGTAATACACAGAACCTTTACTGAAACTGTGACATAGTGTTACTTACAGTATATTTGGCTAATATTATCACATGAGCACATTTCCAAAACTATTTTTTATTACCCATGCAGGCAAAAAACAACTTTTTTTTTTACATGTGCATGTCGGCATTAAACTTCTGTCTTACTAACTGATAAAAGTTTGCAACATTAGTTTTTGTGAACAACCACAAAAGCTACAGACACGCCGTTTTATTTATGTTATGTTAGTCTCTGAAGGACAGTGCTAGATTTTAAATTCTCCTAATTGCTCACCTCCTAATAATGGTATCTATTCTTGCACCGGTTGATAATTATATATATGGTAATACTTCCCAAATGTCTTCTTCTTTTACTTAATCGCAGCTTCAGTTCCCCTGAGTCCGGATCAACAAGCAATTCTCTACAAGACCTTTGTTCTCCTGCTCAAGTATGTTTATGTCGACCCTGAAGACTTTCTATAAATATATTATTTATTGTAATTGTTTTGCTATTAATCTCTCCCCAAAGGTGCCCCTTCCTGCTAAATCTGGACTTGATAGGAATAGCAAACCGCTTTGCTCAGTTTAATCTTCCTGCTTTCGCCCTGGGAACGCTGCTTCTCGTCCCCTCCGCCAGTAAAAAGGAGCAGCAGATCCAGGTAGGTGCATCTGTGTCCATTCAACATATGAGAAGTTATTTTTAGGCTTTAATTATGACCACACACTGTGTTTTTGTTGTTCTCAGGGCTTTCTGTCCAGCTGTAACCCAGTCGCCGTCCTCGAGCAGGTGGATGAACTCATGAACACCGGAGAACTGGCTGGAGTCCCTTCACAGGTCAGACATCATTTCACACTTGGTTTGAAGTCAGACTGATTTAGTGCAACAACATTTTGTCCCAGAAATATTTGTCCTAAACAGTATTTTTGTTTTAAACCATTTTTTATGCAACTGGTATATTGATAAAATAGGACAATAACTCAAGGATTCTCTTTTGACAACGATAAACTTTCAATTTGTAGGAACTTCCTTACAAAATAAATGTAGAGAAACTTTGTCAAAACGATATTTAGGGGTGCCAATGAATAATAACTGAAGCACTTTTCCTACTATTTACAAACCTGCAGCTTAAAAAAGAAGTTGACTGGTGCTAAATGCTGATAAACCAAAGGGATGTTTTCAAACAGGAAGTTGGTACCAACAGTCCTTCCTCCTATCTTATCTACAAACGATGTTCCTATTGAGTTTGTGGATTCTTACAAATAATTGGGAATCTTGGTCGATGCACATCTCTTTTTTTAAGCTGCATGTCGAAAATTTGATAAAGAAACTGAAAGTAAACCTGGGTTTCTTCTTCAGAAATAGATCTTGCTTAACTCTGAATGCTAGGAAACACCTTGTAGCTGCTACTTTCCTTCCAGCCATTGACTATGGTGACATTATTTACATGACTGCTCCTGCAAGCACGTTACAGATGTTGGATGCTGTCTATCACGGCGCGCTAAGATTCATTAACCGTCTGTAACTACCTTATTCATCATTGCACCCTACTATTAATTGGTTAACTGATCATCATTAACTTCATGCAGATGTTCACACTGGTACATTTTCATCTTTAAATCACTCCTTGGTCTGCTGCCTTCATATATCTCCTCCTACATGTCACGTCGTCAGTGCAGCTATCAGTGCAGCTACAGCGTGCGCTCTCAAGACATCATTACCTGCAGCGTCCCCTCAGTGTGGACCAAACTTGGCAAAATGACTGTCTCTTACTCTGCTCCTGTTTCCTGGAACACCTTGCAAAAAGATCTGAAGCTCTCGACTTTGACCTCTCCAAGGGATTTTAAAGAATTGTTAAGTTGAATGCAAAAATCAGTGCAGACATGTTCCTGTTTTTAGTATTTTACATCGTTTTATAGTGTAGCTTGATTTTATTTAGTTTTATGTCACTACACTTATTTACTTGTCATTTATATGCATTTTATGCCTGTTTATTGTTCTGTACCTTATCTGTGTTCTTTGTTTAAAACGGGTCTCTTGAAAATGAGTCTTTGTGACTCAATGAGGCTAACATGTATAAATAAAGGTTGAAAGAAAAAAGGTTTACATCAAAATATGGGGCTTGGTCTTTAATAGTGTGTTAATGACATTTGGTGTCGATACAATGTAGCAAAAAATTGTACAGTGTAGTCAAAATTAGCAAAAAACAAACCCTGAAATGGGTGATAAAACCCAGGCATTTTTGGAGCTGCCATTTTTATAATATTTACGTTTAGTTTTTTAGGTTTTTATTTTTATTTTTTTACAATTGCTGTTTTAGTTTTCATAATTTAAGATTTTTCCACAGAATATACGAGAGCTGATATTGTCACACTAACTTTTGAGCAATCTAAAAAGATTCAATCTTTTGCAGACAAACTTTTCTTACTCCCAAAGCATTTTTGGTACATATACGTCAACATGTAGGCATTTTTGTTGTGTTTTACTTAGTATGTCCTTCACGGCTGTGAGACTTGCAGCTTTCTCTCATCCCCTCAGGGTGCAGAGAGCACCCAACCAAGAAATCAGACTTAGACTTGAGTTTTATTTGAGCTAAAAAA